GAGTTGAAGTCTATACTCCAGAAAACAGTGAACCCAAATCGGAAGGATTGGAGTATACGCATTGATGATGCGCTATGGGCATACCGAACTGCTTACAAAACTCCAATTGGTATGTCCCCGTATAGACTTGTGTTTGGCAAAGCGTGTCATCTCCCCGTAGAGCTTGAACACAAGTCATATTGGGCGGTGAAAGAATTCAACCTCAATCTTGACGAGGCCGGTTTGCATAGGAAGCTCCAATTGCAAGAATTGGAAGAACTCCGTATGGATTCTTATGACAATGCGGAAATATACAAAAGAAAGACGAAGGAGTGGCACGACAAAATAATCATAAGGAAGAACTTTAAACTTAATGACAAAGTCCTCCTTTTTCAATCACGCCTTCGTCTATTTCCCGGAAAGCTGAGATCCCGTTGGACTGGACCATACAAAGTGGTCAAAATATATCCACACGGGGCGGTGGAAATTAAAGACCTGGAGACGGGCGAGGTGCTCAAGGTGAATGGACAAAGACTAAAACCCTTCTTTGAGGGTTTCCAACCCAAAAATGTGGAAGTCATGGACCTTTCTGAACCGGTCTATGAGTAAAGAACAACGAAGATATCGTCGAGCCACGACGTTAAATAAAGCGCTTCTTGGGAGGCAACCCATGCAAGGTATGTTCACTTTAATTAAATATTGCAGAGTGTGTGTGTTCAAAAATGAAGAAAAAAAAAATTAAACTGAATAAACCCGACCGGGTAAACTAACCCACCAGATCGGGTATTGAAGCCAGAACATTCTGGTTTAAAACTTTCAATAGACCCGACCGGGTATTTTAACCCACCCGGCCGGGTATGACAACCCGAACATTCTGTTTTAGAAAATTCAGGTTACCCGACCGGGTATATTATCTTACCCGACCGGGTAAATACCTGAAATTCTCACTGCCAGCCTCTGGAAAGAAAACCCGACCGGGTAAACTAACCCACCCGACCGGGTAATCGGGCTTTTCAGCCTATACCAGGTCGGGCGAACTCCCCTCCCTCCCACTTCATCTTCCCCAATTCGAACACACCCACCCCAAAACCTCCATTTTCATATCTCCAAAGCTCCAAACCTCCCCATTCCTCCACCAAATCCATCAACTAAACACATTTTCTTCATCCCCCCAACACCCTCTTCCATCCTACACCCAAAAATCTCACCCAAATCCACTCATACCCAAAATCCGAAAACCCTAACCCCCCTTCTTCATAGGTCCGATTTTTCTCCCAAAACCCCCAACAAATCCCAATTTCTTCTCCTAATAATCATCCCCTACACTCTCACAACACCAAAACAACCAAAACCCACCAAAAATCAAAAGTTCCAAACCCCACCACACCCAAATCCGAAAATACCAAAAAAAAAAACCAAAAAAAAAAAAAACAAGCTCCATGGCACCAAAAAGGGCAAAACCTTCTTCCTCAAGGACTCCAAGGGCTATTCCACCGGTTGACGGCTTCGAGGAGGTGGACCTTGCAACCGACGCACAACGCACCCGTTTCCTCGAACAATCCGAAAGAGAGGTAAAACCCTCCCGCTTTATCTGCCAAGCGACGTTGACTTTGTTCTGGATTGATGAAATCATGAGAAATATATTCACAAGGTGTGGCATGCTAAAAATCTTTGATATGCATTATTGGTCATATTCTCGTTTAGTGTATGAATTTTACAGTTCCGTTGAGCATGTGAGTGATGAAAATGACCACACTAATAACACGATCCACTTTCGCCTGCTCAACGCGGACCGTTCACTCACTAAAAGGGAATTTGCCGAACATTTCGTCCTACCCTTGCTTGATGAAACAGTCGCGTATAGTACACCGGTGGCCCAGGAACTATGGAGAAGAATGACCGGGTCGGTCAAATTTGACACGTCCCACCTCAATGTAAACCACGTCCAACACCCGGTCTTCCGAATTTTTTTTAAATTCTTGGCAAATTGCTTTTTCGGGAGACCAAACAACCATCAAACTAGAGTGTGGGACATATGCCTCTTAGCACAAGCTGTCCTTCCGGGTGCTAGCCCATACGACGTCACCACAATGCTTTGGGACCATATTATCAATGTTAAAAATGGTGGAGGAAAGATTCTGGTGGGGAGGCTGATTACCCACATTGCCACACTCTACGGTTTTCAATGCAATGGGGCACTAAACTACAGGACCGTTCTTGGCCTTAAGTTCCTAAAACACGCTGGGGATGTGACCCTGTCACACATAGAGGGTGATGGCCTGGAGATTTATAATTGGCACATCAAACCCGGCCAAGAACTGTATTTCCCCTTCCCTTCCGAAAACCTCCCTCTTGACATCATCGATCACCAAATCGGTGATGGACGTCATTATTGCTTGCCCGGGGGAATCCCACCTCAGTATGAACCCCCAAACAATGAACAAGGAAACCCTGAAGACAACCCCGCAAACGAACATATTGCCATTGAACCACCCCCCATCCCTGAACAATCACAACCACAGCCCCATGCTCATCAATATTCACCATTTGAGCAAGAAATGCTAAATAGCATGAATGCTCTCAACCTTAACTACACTCAACTCCGGAATGAGTTCGGAGTATTTAGGAATGAGCAGCGGCAGAGTTTTGAGAGGATTGAAGAACAAAGGCGGGAGGATTGGCGTAGACATGAAGAGGACCAACGGAGAACCTTTGGTCCAATATACTCTTATGTGGCACACCAGGGGTCTTTTTCGACCATGAGCAACCCCCCTCCCGCACCCTCATGGTATAACCCCACTGAATGGGGTTATTTCGGCAGTTCAAGCTCTAGTGGAGGGGGCGGAAATGACGGGCACGACGGTGATCAAATGGATGAAGATGCTCACTTCACAGGTTACCACGGCTATGGAGGGTTCTATGATGGAGGAGATGCGGGCGGGCACTAGGGACAGTGCCTCATCCTAAGTGTGGGGGTGTTGAGAACTATTCCGGTATGCACCAATTTCATGCTCTTCATTATTTTCTTAAAAAAAAAAAAAAAAAAAAAAATAAGCTTGTTATGTTGAAAACCCAAAAGGGCAACTTAAGCAAAATAAAAGCAAAAAGAAGAGTGAGTTGGTAAGAACAAAAAAGGAAAATGTGGGAAGCTGGGCTGAAAACCCGAAAGGGCACCTAGGCAAAATGAGAGAATGAGAGAAAGTATTTCTTTTTTATTTTGCAGGATCCTGAAGGTGACTACTATACAGAGTTCATCGAATGAGGAAGCTGACATTGAAGACCCATTTTTACTCTTTTGGTTTTGGAGATACTTTATGTTATTTGCTTGAACACTTATGGTTGTTGGTGTTGCTACTTCTGCCATTTAAAGACTTCTTGAACAGAACTCATTTTACTCGAGACGAGTAAAAGTGCAAGTGTGGGGGTGTTTGATATGCACTCGTTTATAGTGCATAAGTGTATGCTTTTATATCAATATTGTGTAGACTTTCCATCACTTTTAGTTAGTTTGTAAGTATTTGTTTTATTTTAGTTGTAATTGTTTTTACCTTCTATTTCTAGCTATAGAATAGTGATAAAGTTGTTAGCAAGCAAAAGGGGAGAAAAACTGAAGGCAGATAAACTCAGGAACACAGACCCGGTCGGGTCCCCCACTCGACCCGGTCGGGTCCCCCACTCGACCCGGTCGGGTCAGAATTGACCCGAAGCACCAGAACATGCTGCAGATTTGGAAAAGATTGGATTTTGGTCAAACCCGGTCGGGTCCCTCACTTGACCCGGTCGGGTCTGACTTGACCCGGACAAGTTAACGTGCAAAAACAAGAAATCGTGGGAGATAATCCGATTTTGACCGGTACCCCGGTCGGGTATGTACCTATACCCGGTCGGGTACCCGGCCAAAGGTGTTGAAAAACACCTATAAATAGCACACTTTTTCTTCACAAAAGATCCATCCCTTCTTCCTTATACTTAAGCTCAGTTTAGAATAGCATTTCTTTATATTTCTTTTAGCATGTTTAGTCTCCAAATGAGGAGCTAAACTTCCATTTCTTGGTTTTGCTCTTGAAGCTTGATTGATTATTAAAGTTGTGAGTTATTTTCTTACTTTCTCCTCTTGATTATTAATTCTTCCCTTAATCTCATTCTATATCATTGTTGGAGGGTGGCTAAGTGACGATTAGTTAACGTTCCAACATTGATTATTACTAGAAACGTCAATGAACCGATGGTTAAACGTTGAAGGTTTCATAAGTAAGTAACTTCGGTTTGTTAATGCACGGTCGTGGTTAATAAACTTAAGAGGGATCAATTTTGTTGGTTAAACCAAAACCGTTGCGTTGAGGTTATCAATCTCAATTGATTTCATCAAGGAGTTAAAGAGATTAAATGCTACTATTATATCGGTATACGGCGTTGTTCTATATTTGATTAATAGTAAGGGTTATTAATGAACGGTCGTTGTTAATAACTACCCTCGATGAACTGGTTATACTCCGCGATTGAGTATTCGAGAGGGGATAAGTTATGGATATAACAATGATCGACTAAAATATATCAACAAGTGTAAAGTAGCAAGACCAAGTCCCTTTTATTCTTGAATTTAATCCCATATAACTTGTTCATCTTCGTGTTTAAATTAATTAAATCACTCAACAAACAAAACCCTCCTTTTATTTACTATATTCATAAAAAGAAAGTTATTCCTTTCCCTGTGGATACGAATTCTACTACGCTTTACTACGTATAAGTGTTGTATTGAATATTATTTTGAGTGCACCTCACGACAAGTGCACGTCAACAATCTTACTTTGAAATTCCAAAATATTTTTACTCCTATTTCAGGTATTTACTCTGATCTCATTAGTATTAGTGTGAATTAATGGGAAGTCCCGACCAACCAAGTTCGTTTGAGATCTTCTCGATCAAATTTTTTAATGAAATTTTAAGATGAAATTTTATGATAGAAATTTTATGAACATATAATTAAACCAAACATTAAACATATATATCTAGAATTCCAATTCTGGAGCATAATTCCATAAACCTTTTCCAATTCCGGTCCTGAATCAAAAAGCACAGTCCGGGTTAAACCCAAAACTGGGGAGAGATCGAAGTGAAGGACATCTTAAATTCCAAATTAATTCAGCGGAACTGAATGCAAGAAGAACTCGTAAAATTAAAGTTATATGCATATGAGATGAGACACTTACATAATTTATTTATTCCTTTTGACAGATGACCATTCATATGCTGCAATAAATTAAAACTATTTTTTTTACTATTTCATCCATCCAAAATTCTCAGCTCAAAGTGAAAAGTAGGAGTTGTATAAACTAATACGGAGTAAAAGTTTTGATCATATATATGAAGTTATGGATGAGGAGATGCAACTTAGCCGTAATTCAGATTCGGCTCTTCGGGTTCGGGCTGGGCGTTCAAGTCGAGCTTCACGGTCGATTGGGCCGGCGGGCTGGCTTCACCCTCTCCGCCGCCACAGAGGGAGTTTTGGACGGCGTCCACTCTGACGCCCACATCGATTGCCTTCTTGCGGATCAAGTCGGTGGACAAATCGGCAGGCCTTTCGCCGTCACCAGCAAAAAACTCCGGGAAATTCAGCCTCGAAGACGGCCCGCGGAGGTAGTAGACAGCGGTGTCGTAGGCCCGGGCCGCCGCGAGCGGGGAGGAGTAGGAGCCGAGCCATATCCGCGAGCGCTTGTTGGGCTCGCGGATTTCGGCGACCCACTTCCCCCACTTCCTCATACGAATCCCTTTATAGGGTCGGTCCTTGTCCTTCCTCTTCTTCCCGGAGCAACACCCACCACCGTCGCGCCGCCCGCCGTCCAACATTTTATTAGGATTATTATCTCTCTAAAAAAAAGTTGGGTCGGTATCTGTATCTACGGAATTGTTTGATTGACGTGTCCGGAATATATATATATAAAAAAAAATTGATTAGGAGGCGTTGATGGGGAGAGAGATCGAGAGGTTGGGGTGGAATGGAAGGACACGGAATACGATTAATTTATGTGTGTATTTATAGTACCGTCTGACAAAACAAAATACATAAAGCACCGACACGGTGACCTATTCTGGCTGACCTATATTCTAGGGGATGCGTGATTCTGTTATGAAATAGTCTCATCCCGTTCCCAATCTCAAATCATTGACGGTGTTAGGCATTTCAAGCTTATCCAAATCAACCTTCCTATAAGTATCCCATTTTGCACCTCAATTTGTACCTCAATCTATTTATGTGACTCACAAAAGTTCACTTTAATAAATGAATTGTTCCACTTTAATGAGTTGTTTTTATGAGTCACAAAAATAGGGTGGTGGTACAAATTGGGATACCTATAACATTTTTGTATCCAAATTATGTTAACGGGTTGTCAAAAGTCGAAGGAGAAGTTCCTGAAATGGGACCAAAAACGTTTGTAAATTCCAAAATAGGACTATCGTGTTTTTATTCCCAAAATAGGAGTAATTACTGTCAAGTTTGGAAAATATTGTCATGTTTAAAGTCTGGTACTGCCTAACATGACAGTAATTAGTCCCATTTTGGGAATTAAAAACATGGCAGTCCCATTTTGGAATTTACAAACGTTTTTAGTCTTATTTAGGGTAAATTCTCAAAATCGAATCATTCAGCAAAATAAATGATTAGCATTTATCAATATAGTAGTTGCTTGTCTAGTTGTCTGTTTGGTCATAAGCCATAACGATTACTATCTTTGTCCCGTTAAAATGTTGAGATAATTATCCCAGACATGACTAAAACTCAATGAGTTTCTCAATCTATGACCTAACTAGTTTTTTTCCTAAAATAATATTAATATTTATAATATTTAATTAAAATTCGGAATTAATAAATAATAAATATTTTTTATGGACAAATATACCCTTTAATTTATACCTATAAAACTCTAACCTCCTGCCCATTTTCTTCAACCCTAGCCACAGCCTCCCACCGTCCACCCACGCAGCAGCCCCGCCGTCCGACCGCCATCCACCGTCTAGCATCGCCCATCGTCCAGCGCCACCTCCTTCCAAGTACTCTGGCCTAGGAGCACAGTCGGCGATCCAGAACCCCGGACTGGGGCAGGTGCCCGCCCGACCAGAGTGCCAAGGTGTCGTTCGAAGTCGATCCGCTGCTCGCCGTCCAACCGTCGCTCGCCGTACAACCTCCGTCCAGACATCCGGTCTGGGAGCAAAGCCGCCGTCCAGATCTGGCAAACGAGGCGGTGCAAACGAGGCGTGCAGATCGTCCCATAGCTTCCTCTATGTCTTCAACGTCCGCCATCCTCATCCCCTTTCCACTTGAGAGCGCAAGATTTATCGGACTTCAATTTAGGGAAAAAAAGAAGAAGCTAAAGCTTATTTAGCTCCTTCCCTTTCACTGGCCGCGCTAGGAGTAGCAGGTACTAGGAGGCTAGGAGCAGGCTTTTCGTTATAGGGTGTAATAGGGTTAGAATTTAGAAATGCTATTTTTTGCATAATTGTACTCCGTATCATATACTCCATATTACAAAATTGGATCAATCACTTCTTTTTTGTTTTCAAGTTGATTCAATAACTCATGTTTTCATTTCCGAATTGACTGACTTAGTTTCAAAAAGATGTTTGAAGAAAGTTTCTTACATTTAGAGTTTGTAAGCATTAACTATGGGCATTGAATATTAAGAGTGAGCATGATAATAAGTGTTGAGTAATATATATATGGCAATGAATCAATGCATTAATGGAATTTGTTATACAATCATTATGATCAATAGTGCAATAATACATAGCACTAATTACAAATAAAATAATAAAATTATTAAATCTAAAAAATAAATAATAAAAACTATGAACAAATTTCTAAAATGAATGAGAAGAGAATTAATTTTGGAAGAAGTGCAGCGATTATTATCGCATGTGCAGTAATGTTGCGCAGTAATATCGTGCAGTAATCTTGTGCAGTAATGACAATGTAAAATGCTGTAATTTTAATTGAGCGAAATTAGTGCGAAATACACATATTTTAAATAAGGGTATTTTAGTCATTCAACATTTAAATATAAACGAATTTTCTATTTATTTTTGGATTTTTGGTCATACAAAGGTATAAAAACTAGTTAGGTCATAGATTGAGAAACTCATTAAGTTTTAGTCATATCTCGGTAAATTTCCCTAAAATGTTCTCATGATTATTTTATCAATAACTAAACATGCTAATTTGAGTATATTTTAATAAATAGTTTTATGTGTATATAATATAATGAATTATGAATGATAACTTTCGTGTTATAGATGCATCATTTATAATATTTGATAATTACATTAATATTCAAGGGTGTTAATTGTTTCATAAAATAGAAAATAGGAACCTTTAATTAGGGGCGTTCAGAAAAGAAAAGTGAGAACGTTGAATGAGACAGTGGGGGTAGTAGAGAAAATGCCTTATTTTGAAGTGCTAACCTAAAACGTTGTTATTTGCATCATTTTTATTTCAATGGTTTCATCCAAAAATACTAGAACCGAACTATTTACCACACAACATTTTGACTTATTGAAAATACTAGGAGTCAAAATCATCATTTTTACTGAAACCTCGTCTTCCAAACACCCCCCATTTCCTATTTTGACCCAATATATAATTAATTAATTTTGTCCCATTAGACACCAGCAAAACTCTCGTTATCCCTTAAAACTTTGTCAATTTTTTTTGTTATCTCACTAACTTCGTTACTTTCTCTTTTAAGTAAAGAAATTGTCATTCCTGTTAATTCTCTCTTCTTTGCACAAACCTCTACTACACAGTTTTCACTTTATTAATCCGCGGTTGCCAGCCAAAGTTGGCAAAGTTTTAAGTGACAGAGAGACTATTAATTTTCAAATTAGAAAAAAAAAATTATGTCATTGAGAGTTGCGCAAAGGAGGGACAAATAAGTAGAACTACAAATTATGTATAAGGCAGAATGGTAATGTTTTGTGAAAAAATAAAATTGACAAAGCCCAATGAGACGAAAGAAGTAATACTGAACTCAAACGTGGAATCCCCCACCTTATGTGTCAGTCACTCCGTATCCTAGTAGAATGATGGAGGAGTAGTCACGATATTATCTCAAACAGTTTCTAATGTGACGGTTCAAGACCTGATACGTTCAAGAAGCCATTATATTGGATGGAACCCCACAATACCGTTGTCCTGGAAAGAACCTGAGAGTTCAACCAAATGCCTTACTCAGCCATCATTAAACTCTAGATGCGGGTATACAATTTAGTACTCTATCTCAACCCCTCTATCTTGTTTGACGCAATGACACATAATAAGAAAATACAATGTTAATCCAAAGAAAAATTATAAAAATAACAAAGTAACTGTTTTAATTACAAAATTATATGTTTTTGTATAATAATAAAAAGCGTTAAAAAAAGTGTAATAAAAAAGCATATAATTAATTATTGCCTTTTCATCCTGTTACGAAATAGTCTCATCCAGTTTTTAGGTCCCAAATACTCCCTCCGTCCCGCTAAGATTGTCCCAGACACTATTCACTTGGTCAACACAAATCACTCTTAATCTCTTACTTTATATATCAAATTTTTATGAAATTTGATTCTAGTTTTTGCGACTGTGTATAGCTTTAAATTTAATTTATGAATATGTAATTCTTTTTCTCTAGAAATAAATTGAGTTCGGACAGGGATCCGTTTGCTTTATCGTCAGTCAAGCATCGTAAATCAAATTGTCCCAAACACAATGGGACAGAGATAGTACTTCAATATTCAATTCAAAAAATGGAACCGTTCACTCCAGATGTCACCACACCTCGACATGATAGAATAACGATAGAGTACATACAATTTTATCTCAAATTTATGTAATAAAAAAAAATATAAAAATCACAAAGGAGCTATTTTAGTTGGAAAATTATATGCTTTTTGGATAATAAAATGACATATGATTATTGCTTTTTTATTCCATTTGGAAATTGTGTCCATTTTCTTAATCCCAAAATATTACCTATTTTGACCCATCATATAATTTAATACTCATCACCATCTCCAAAGATCTCAACAGCTTGACCCAATAGCACACGATATAATTTTAAATAATTTATGTAATTAGAAGAAAAATTATAAAAAACATCAAGTAACTATCTTAATTGGAAATTTATATCCTTTTTTAATAATAACAAAGAAAGAAAGTTATCAAAGTCTATCATGCAGAAGAACTAAAACGAAAATGGGGTATTTGAGATATTATTAAATATACGAAAGGCACTAGGTTTCCGATATGTTGGAACTTAGAACTAATAAAATATCGAGGGTCACTTACAAATCGCTTATTATTTCCTTGAAAAAAGTTGAGCAATACTTTTGGACTGACAAACAACAAAAGTATGAACAAGTGATTTTTTAAAGAAGCATATAAAGAGGTTTTTTGGCCTAATTGTTAAAACTATTTTTGTTTCTTCAAAAATGTTTTTGTTCCTTCAAAGATTAGAAGTAAATATTGGAGAGTTTGGATGGAAGTGCAGAAACACTTCTAAATATGGATGGCCCCGGGCCGGTTCGGGCCCGGTTCGAGCCTAGGCCCGGCCAGGCCTCGGGTCTGTTTTGTTGAGCCCGAGCCCGAACCGGTGGCCACCAGTTCCGGGTCCGGTTCTGGGCCGGACCGGGCCGGGCCACCCGGTTAGTTTATTTTTTTTTTCTTTTCTTCCCCCCCCCCTCACCCCCCACCCCCCCAAACCCCCCAAACCCCCCAAACCCCCCAAACCGGTCCTAAACATCAAGCCCAACTCAATAAAGCCCAAAAAAATGAAAGAATAAAAAAAAACAGTTTTTGGCCCGGTTCGCCAAATACAAGGCCCGAACCCCCCCCCCCCCCACCGGGCCTAGGCCCGACCCGGACCCGGACCCGGACCCGAGAACCGGGCCGGTTCCGGGCCCGCACAGTGGCGGGCCGGGCTGGTCCCGGGCCGGGCGGCCCGAACCGGGTCCAAGTCTACTTCTAAA